TAAACAATGAGTCATCACAAGCCACCTAGTGGACATTGATCTAGAGAGTTTTGTTGTGGATTTTTATGATATTTGACATATATTACTGTATACACTGGACATATACTCGCATATATACTATATATACCTACACTGGAGTGTTTTATATAATGTAATCATTATGATAATCATCTAACATACATGTTCAAATCACAAGACCCACATATTTAGGTCAAATATTATCTATAGTTATATTAATGAAGTTTGTGCCACTTCTTGTCACACATGTTGATCAATGCTGTTTGAAAATGTAATAATTAGGATTGATTGTGTTATGGCCAATGGTGACAAGTCCAAACATAGAGTTATTTCAACTTGGCACTGCTAAATGTGCACCTGGGACTCTCTGCTCGTCTTCATTCTGTATCCAGCCCTTCCACAGCCTATATGGTAAACAAACCTGGCCCTGCCTAGGATGCACCTAGGATTCTGTTTTCTCGCCTCAGCCACCATAGGTGAAAAGTACCCTTTCTTATCATGGATAGTCGTGTACTTCTGACAAGCGAACCCAACAAAATTGCCAAAATGATTAACTGTTATCTGCCTTTTTGCAAACCTTCGAACTCACTTTGGCCATTAAATTGACAAAGTGACCCAATTATAAATGATGGATGCCAGGACTGGCACTCGAAAAGTTATGGTGCCAGAAAGTTGTGTAACCAAGTTTAAGATTAAACAAAAGAAACATGTATGATTAAAAACTGATTGGGGGAAAATATTGCTAAACATATAATGATTGGGGTAATATGACATTTGTACATTTGAAAGAATAAAATAAAAACTTAAGACTCACCAAGAAAGAACAAAGGATGAAAGGGTACCCAACAGCAGGAGGAGGGGTTCAGGACTGCTGTGTGTACTCAGAAGCTCTACACCCCGGGGTTTGCGTTGCTTCACATTGGTTCAATTTTTATTGGTCACTAACATATAACTATTTCAGGGACCATCTAACCTCCAAGACATCAGCCAGGAATTATCACCAAATAAAAACTGCTGAGTGACTAACACACAAACACAGTGAACAGAACCTGATGTAAAACTTTGTATATGAGTTATTTTCTGTTTGTTAAACATGTAAATCTGCAGAGTCTTTGAGATCAGAAGTTGATGTAAATTTACTGAACTGTATTTCTATATGATTAAAATATACTCAACCTTTTTTTTTGTCTGATTAACATTAAAAGTGTATGACTTAAAACACTGAGTGCAAAATGTGCTCCGTTTAAAGCAACTTTCTGTGAAATTACTATGTTGAACAATTGTCAAATTGTTTGATGGTTAAACTATGGCAACATTAGTAAAGTGTAATTTGTTGCTCTTAATATTATGAAACTTACTGCAAATAACACTATTATTAAATGGATCATGCTAAAGAAAAGAAAACAGACGCTTGCAGAAGACTGAAACTCCTCTGACAGAAAACCTGCAGCAGATGCAAGTGTGCAGCAGTTAAATATTAATGGTAGAATGTGGTTGAACCTTCACATAGTCCTCAAAAGTAAAAGAAGAGTTTCAATATGATTTGTTTAAAACTTTATCTACATCTATAGTTATATTGAAAGCTTTATCTGAAAGACTTTATCATTTATATAAAAAAAAAGCAGTTTCTATTGTTAATGTGTAACTAAAGTAAACTGTACTGGTACAAATCATCAATTCAGGTTTGGGTTACTGATAGGTTTGTAGCTTGAACCTATTCGCTGGAACGTTGAAGACAATATAATTACACCGCAAGCAAGACACGAAGTAGGCAAAGTTCTTCATGTTTCTCGTGCATGGGAGAGAACCGGACAAACGCCGTTCCTTCGCTTGACCCCAGTTGCTCTCGTCCGCTCCCCTGTAACACTGCTCTTTTATTGAGGTTAAATGAATATGCATAGGTTCATTAACATATGACGTCTACATACAACAAAGAGTACCTTGCCTGTGTGTGTGTGTGTGTGTGTGTGTGTGTGTGTGTGGGGTCAGAGTGTGGCCCCATAAACAACTTCCCTAAACCTGCTGGTCTGGAAAATCCAACAGTTCATCTATATGTAAAAAAGCACTTAGACTAAAACTGATATAGCCACGTTTATCCTACCATAAAACAATAAAACAAGGTACGACCTCTCCCATGCTCCCAGGATGTAGGTGTGCATTCCACATTAAGCCTTTGCAGCCTGCTAAAGATCACACATCCTATCACTACACAATTGATTATACACCTCTAAGCATATGTGGTTGAATATTTCTAAGCATAAATGACAATCAACAATACAAAACCTAACAGTTACCAAAAAAAAGATGTTTGATGCTTCTTCAAATGTCCAATTCAGTCCATTTAGTTTTATTATTATTTATTTACATTGTTGTATTGTTTGCAGTTGTAAATGTCATAAACTGCAGGCAGCAGGCAGGAAGGGAGGACCCAAATGCATTTGGGTGCATTAATGCAGACTCCAGGATGTGAAACATAAACTCAAAAAACAGCTTTATTGCTGAACAAGGAAAAACTAACTTAACTGAAGATACAAAATAAACTAGCAGTTTTAGCAGACAGAACACACAGTGTGGACTGAGGGAGACCGTGACGGTGGACGGAAGAAAATAAAGCTAAATATAACAGATCAGACAAGGTACCTTCACAATAGCAGAAGCAAAGCAAAACATGGCGCACACAGATAGGAAACTACCAAAATAAAACAGGAAGTAATGGGAACACACGCACAGAGGTGCAGACAGACACAGAGACGTGACTGACTGGGGAAACATGGATAAACATGGCAGGCATGTGAAAACAGAATGAAACACGAGGAGGAAACAAGACACAAGACAACACAGACACAGAGAGACATCACAGACACAAGGGGAAAATACTAAACAGGGAATATAACTCACAATAGAAAACTAAAGACCACTAATGAACCAGAACATAATCTAATAACACAAACTACCACAGGAATACAAGAAAACACAAAATGCTGACCTAAAAGGACCCAGAACCATGACAGTAAAATCTCAGTGAAATTAAAAACCTTATTCTCTATTGTCAGACTGTGACAAATTAATAACACTGGTGGTCAAAATAAAACAAAAATAGTTTGTAGTTTGATTTTGAAGGCCCAAATTTCCATCCTCAGCCCCACGGAGCTTTCCTATTGTTTGTTTGTTCGTTATTTCAAATAGTTTATTAAAGAGCTGGAAGACTGATTGGCTGTGACATGAAAATTAATGAAGATCAAGGCTAACTTTTGTATTCGGCTCTCGTGGTTTGATCTTCCTGATAGGTGTAGCACCTTTTCTTTAGTATGCAATGTTACCTCATATTTGTATAAAAAAACTTATTCTTTAACTTAGAGTTCAGTGAACAAACAACATGCAACAACAAATCAGCAGGTTTTAAACTTAGTCTTGTTCTGTGAGTAACTATTTGTATTTATAAAGAGGTGTGATTCATTTATTGGACATTTTTCAGATCCTAAAGGTTTTTTGTTTCTTGTGTTGTTCTTCTCATTTTGGATTATATATGACAAAAGCCTTACAGCCAGAGTGTCCAACCTTCCAGGCCTCGGGGGCCGTTGTCCTGCAGGTTTTAGATATCACCTTATGTCCACACACCTAAATCAAATGATGAGTTCATTAACTGTTGAGGAGGTCATTTAGCCATTTAAATCAGCTGTGTTGTGGATCAAGGACACGTCTAAGACCTGCAGGACACCGGCCCTCGAGGCCTGGAGGACAATCCTGCCTTACGGTCATAAACTCTTTCCAAATTCACTTCTTCTCCTTAAGCTTATGATTATGTTTATGCTTTTTGCCATGGTTGTCCTGTTTTCACTCAGCTGATGTTTACTGCAGCACATTGAACTAGCCGTGCCCAAAATGAACTTACATCAACAGAAATCTAAACATGAAATTTTTTTTCATCCCACCCACTGCAGCAATGACAAAAGAAAGAAAACTAACCCTGAATTTTAAATCAAAGCTCATCTAGTGAACTGTTTCTCAACTCATCTGACTAAGGCCAAACTTTAACCTGGTCTGCAAAAGTAAAAGCAAAAGAGTTTGGTACTTTCATTATGACTTGTGTACAGGTTAACTTAAAAGCTTTATCTGAGTCACTTTATAGTATAAAAAAAAGCTGCGCTGTTTTTCCTTTGTTAATGTGTAAAGGATTTCCTAATGCATGAACGAGTGTAACAAAGTTCTCAGAAATGCAGATAGATGCAGATTTATAACCGATAAAAGTCACTCCCAGAAAAGGTCAGGTTAACAAAGATTAAACTGACAGCAAAACAGCAAAGAAGCCATCTCCTAAACCTTCAGCGTCATTAACTATTACACTACTGTTAATGTTCTAATATCTATTTAGATTGTGCATGAAAAGTGCATCACTCTTCTACAGTTCAATGTGTTTCGGTTTTATAGCCGTAAAATATCCATCAAAATAAAAACTAAAACCAAAGTAGAAGACTGACAAAGATACTCCAAAGCAAACCAAAAAACAGCAATATTTTTAATTAGCACCATCATCATCCAGTTCTTTTGTTTTTTCTTTGTTTTGTTATTCAAACAGAAAGTCTTTATTATGTCCCTGGAAGACTGTCTGGCTTTTTTGAAGCATGTAGGTTGGTTTGGATTTAATTCCCGACAAGTGTAAAAAAAAAAAAAGGATTTTGGGCTGATATTTCACATGTATAAACAAAGCCTAACAATAGTACATATATGTACTATTGTTAGGCTTCTGTGCACAGATTCTATACTATAGTATAGAATCTGTGCACAGAAGATTAAAGCTTAATAAGACTGTTACTGTGAGTGTCCTGATGTCCTCACTCAGCTCAGACATTGAACTGTGAATGGAGGTTAATGACATCATCAGAAAGTACAGTAACTTCCCCAGCCCCTCCTCTTTTCCTTTCCTGGTTATGCTGGGAGTGTTTGTGTTTTCAACCCACATGTGGAAACTATAAAGGAGCACACACACTATCATCCATCAGGACTCAGCTGACAAGTATTATTTACAACTTCAAAATGCCATGGTCACGCTCTATGAGGATTTTTAAATGTAAGTTACAGAGCTGCTTTATATATCAGTTTGGTAAATCAATAACTATTATACCCAAATCAACAAATGACAGCTGTTTCTATATTGTTACTAGACTAAACAGTTCTTTATATTATATGAAAACAAGCAACATAATTGACTTTGGAAATTATAGTGCATAAATATGAGAAACAAATGTTTTTCACTTGCAATTTTGAAGAATGTAAAATCTGCTGTTATCTATTGAAATAAATCCATGAAAACTGAATGAAAACAATAAAGAATATATGAAAAATGGCAAAGTACTGTAAGGATTAGCAAACGACTGCAAAAAAATCTTAATTATAAGCTGTGAATTAAATGTAAAAATCTTTAAAGATAAAGTTTATATTTTAGAGGAAATGCTTATTGCCAAAGATAAAGTGCAAACACAATAACTGTGTGAGACATAAACAATGAATAATCACAGGCCACCTAGTGGACATTGAATGCAACTTAGTTCACTGTATTTAATGATCAGGATGAAGTCCAAAGTGTCACATCATTCTCAAAAGTGAAAGCACAGGAGTTTGCAAATTTTATTACGACTTGTTTACAAGTTTATTAGCTTTTATTATTGCACTAAAATCTTTTTCAGAAACATCTTAAAGGTGTAAAATAAGCTCATGACAGAAAACCTTGTGACATTATTTTCAGTTATCTTTTATTAATAGTAAGTCAGACTACTAATAATTAAACCATTAAATGTATGCATGATATTTAAGCATCTGATCACATGCAAAGAAATATTTTTATATCAGCACTAATAAGTTTTATTTAATTCTGTGTAGTTGGCAAGTCAGAGGTGTCACACAGATGCAGCTCACGCTGTGTCAGTCCTCTGACCTTCGACAGTCAGGCTGTGGGAGAAAAGGTCCGCTTGAGTCATGGAGGTCGACTCGCAGAGAAGACTGATAACACCTTCAAGAATGGGCTGGTGTTCAGCAACCGTCCAGTGAAGATCCAGGAGAAGATTTGTCTGAGAATAGAGAAGGATTCATCCATCTGGGACGGGGCTCTGCGTGTGGGCTTTACCACTGTGCCACCCTCAACCAGATCTCTGCCTCTGCCCAGCATGTCCATCCCCAACCTCAATGACAAGTCCGCACACTGGGCTGTTCCATTGGATGAATCTGTCTGCCAAGCAGGTTCAGAGCTGGAGTTTTGGGTTTCTTCTCATGGCAGCATATACATAGGTGTCAACAACGAGGAGTACGAGCGACCAACAGGAGTGGACACTAAACAGCCGCTGTGGGCCATGATAGACATCTACGGACAGACACGTTCCATTTTGCTGCTGGGTAAGTTCACTAGAACCAAGGTTATATTTGACCTACAGAATGTTTTTCCTGTTCTGTGAATGCAGAGCAATTCACATGCTCTAAGAGTTATAAATGTTGTCTGGCTCATAGACTGAATGACTATTCAAATACTCTTTTCTCTTTGCTGAAGACTCCAAGAAAAACAAAAAGCTGCTTTACCGTAGAAGATCCTGTCCTGCACCTGAACCGCTCGCCTCACCTGATCCTGACAGTCACTTTCGTTCAGTTCCTGATGTTTCAGACTTCAGACGTGAGGACTGCATCTCCTGTCTTGACACAAAAATGCCAGAAGGTAAAGAGTCATTTCAAACATTTTTGGCTGTTTTCAGTTGCACATTTCTGACCAGAGAAGATAAAAGTGAAATCAGCTGTAATAGTGTGGTCTCATTTCCTGATGTCACATATGTAATTGGGATCTCTCTCTTTTTACAACAGATAACGTCTGTGTGGTGTGCATGGCGAAAGAGGCCAGAATCACACTGCCTTGTGGCCACCGATGTTTATGTAAAGACTGCAACTTCAGAGTCTGTGAGCAGTTTGGCACCTGTCCGCTGTGTCGACACACGATCAGCGCTCCATCAGTGGGGGAGCGGTGGTTTATAGAGGTCAACTGATCTCTGAGACAACAGCCTGGAATTGTGACAGAAGAATAGCAGCAAGAGTGAAAAGGAACGTTTACAAGATGGTAGTGAAGGTCTGCTGATGTGGGGATGGTGGCACAGACCAACAGACAGGAGGCCAAGTGTTGGCAGTATTGAAGATGCTAAGAATGTCTCCGTTAGTGACCATACGGGATAGGACTAGAAATGAGTACATTTAGAGGACAGCTCAGATTGAGTGGTTTGGAGACAAAGTTAAAAAAGCAAGGCTAAGATGGTTTGTACTTATGCAGAAGAGTGATGGTGAATAAACTGGACAAAGGATGTTGAAGATGGAGCTGTTAGACAGGAGGAAGAAAGCAAGACAGAAAAGGATGATAGGATGATCCACTGTGCCGACCCTGGAAGGGAACAACCAGAAGAAGAAGAAGAGGAAGAAAGAAACTTTACTAAAAGGTTGATGACACTGAACTGAAATATTTCTAAATTGAAATCATTGAAATAGTACATCTCTTTTTGTTTTATAAACAAAATGTATTTTTGTAATTTTTAAGTCATTGTGTGACTTAAACACTTAAACACAAAATGTGCTGTATGGTTTATTTTTCATTGTTATTGTAAATTGTAAAGCAATGTTGAATTTTTAAAAAAATACAAAATTCAACTGTGCCAGTATAAATAATCTGTAATATGTCATAATAAGCGCTTTTCTGTTATTTAACTGTATATGTTTTTATGAAACTTACTGTAAACAAGAGTGATATTAAATGGACTGTGATGAAAGGGAACCTGTCGAGACCATGTTTGATTAAAGATGTCTCTACAATCAGGTATTTACTGATTATGGAGATATTAAGTGAAAAATCAAAGCAGGCGTTCAGGTAAGAACAGACTGTATTGCCGACCCAGGCCAGCCCACATACGTGTTGATGAAGCGGCCCCGATGGTCACAAACTGCCTGGAAGATGACTGATGGGATCAGTTTCCTGTTTCTGTAGCACTGACCATCAGGGCTGCTTGGAGACTTGATGCAGATGTGGCAGCTGTCGATTGCACCAACGGCTCTCAGAAAGTCTCTATGGCGTGCCAGCCATGCAAACCCACAGGACAATACCTCCAGCTCCTTGAGGGTCTTTGGGAGCAACATGATCTAGTGGCGAATGGCCACCACCCCCTCTGTGAGTCTATCAACAATGTAGTGAACAGTAGAATGAGGCATCCCGAACACTCTTGAGACCACCTGTAGGATGCTCCTCTTGCCGACCAGAAAAGAAACATCAGGGTCTCAATTGTGGCATCCAGGAGATTTAGCAACACTGCCATAGACTCCCTGCTTAGCCGAAAATCAAGCCTGGGATCCTCCTGGTTAAAAAAACGGTCCAGGACTGGTACACTCAGATTAATCCTGCAGTACAAGACTCTGGTCTGGTTAAGCAAAAGGTGGAGAACAACATAATCAGTTTTAGTAATAAGTTATGATTTAATTTATTTTAAGAGATCAAAGTATTATTTTCAATATTAACTCATCACTTTTGACGCAGAGAATGTATTTTATAGACTAATATTAGTAGGCTGAAGCCTTTTACTTCTACTTACTTCTGATTGGCTTTTACTATATATTAATATGCTTTTTTAAGGATCAAGACGTGGGTGTGTTTTTCCAGCTTCATTAACAGTTGTTTTTTCAGAGATCAGATGTTCTCACATCTTCAGCAGTAACGCTAATCTATATTGCACAGAGTGCATGTTTTGTATGATAAATTTTACCCATACCCTGCAGAATGAGAGACAGAGCAGCTGGGCTATGTAAAAAGTGTAAGGGGGCGTGTTCACGGTCACGTCCAGTGGGTGTGTGGGCAGAGACGCTCCACCAC